ATCTCTACTCACAGTCTAAAAATCATTCTTATTCGAGAAAGATCAATCTCTCTACCCCGTATCTATTACTGATTTACTCTCTTAATCATATCAATATAATACAAGTCTCATCAATAAACAAAGTAGACTTTCGTTTAAAACATATTACCCGAAAAGCCTAAAGGTTTTGGTATGGGATCGTATAAATTCATTCCTTCATCACCAAAAGAGAGACAGAGACCCACTTGCTTGGCTTGCCCATATTTCACCCTTGCCAGAAATCAAAATTTGATTTTTTTAGAATTCTCTCTCTTCCTACAAAGAAGCAGGTAATGTATGTGTTTGGAGTGCAGAATTTTTAAGTTCCCAATTGGGCTTTTGCTCTCTGATAAGCATAATCTATTTGTATTATTTTTTAGTCTTCAAAATGTGAATGATTTGAAATTTTGCCCTTTTATGATGTTTATATTATTATTCTTGATTTTTGTAAGTTTTGTAGTGAGCTTATAAAAATTTATCGACTGACAACTCAGCATGGTAACATGTTTGTAAGTCCTCCATGTGAATTTAAATGTAGCTATATGCCTTTGATTATCTTTAATTGTCTGTTGCACTGTGTAATATACATATGCACTAATGAATTTTTTTGAATGGTTCTATCTCCTTGGAAATCTTCATCTGTCTTTCCGCAGATGATGACCATGAAGGTACTTAAATTGAATATCTATTAAATGCAGTACTTAAATTTTGCTTGCTTTATGTATTTTTTTTTTTACAGTAATGAAACAAGACTATCGCCTGAAAGTCTGTCGAGGCAGTGCAACAAAAGTTTGTTTGAATCTTCATCGACTGTTTTTTTGAACTGATAAGGTAGTACTTTGTATAGTGGTAGTTTGTGATTCTTGTGAAAATAAGAAAGAAATTCTAACCATTATACCAGTTTGCATTGAGGCCACTTTCCATTTGCATTTGTTAACTGAAATGTCCATTTTGCATTTACAACTCATTGTTGGAATGAACTGTAATCAATTGAATTTTTTTGGATATCTTTGGTGGTGATTTGAATTTGAATTCCAATATAAAATCCTAAAAAAAAAAAGACATTGATTCAAATGTTTTTGATGACTTTAACCGAAGAAATCAACCTAAATGAATCTTAACATAATTTCATAGGATTATATAAATTAACTCAGATGAAAAGCCTCAACGCATTGCGCGAATTGGAAATAGTTTATTATTTATTAATAACAAATTATATTGGTGATTGGCAATACTCATTCTATAATTTGATGATTCTTTTTATTAAGATTTGATAGTGGTTGCCCTTTTCAAGATTTTCTAGATGTTTGCAATATAATCTCATTTCCTTTCTCGATAATCTCAGCTCTCTTCAGGAATAAACCAAGATTCGGATGCATAATATTTGTCTTTTAACGCATTATTACGAGTCCAGGTTCAACTTTAAGATCTTTATGGGTTCTCTCCTTATGTCAAATATAGCTTGTAAAAGGATTTGGTTTATTAAATCATTCATCTTTACTTATTAAACTTTGAAAGATGGATCTGAAAAAAAATAAAAAATAAAAAAGCAGTAATAATTTATAGTCACAGAAAAGAAAGTAAAGGACAAATGGTATTCGAAGTAAAAGAAATGCACAACAACTCTAAACAAGAACATGATAAAAAAAAAAAAGGATGATGCTGTTATTGAAAAGAAAGGCTAATTATTATTAATAAAAAAATAATTAGATCAAATTAGGTGAAGAGATATAGAGAAGAAAGATAAATTACCCATTTAGAGGAAAAGGATGATGTAGCCTGACATAGCAAGAGGTAGATAAGAGAACCAACAAAGAGAGCATACTTGAAAAAAGAGAGTTGAGCGATATATAAGAGGGAAAAAGAAAGATCGGGATAAGGTTTTATCTCTTGGATAATAAACATATAAGAGCAAACTATTTGGTAAGCAACCCTTCTTTTCCATGCTCCGGAAAAACCTTGAATGCTTAGTCTGTAATCTTTCTTTAAAAAGTCCATTGACCATTAGTTGTATACCTAAATATTAGGCTTCAACCCTTTTATGAAGTTCTAGGAAAATAATTCCTTTGCGCTTCTAATCTTTCCAACTTTTGAACATACCATCAATTAGCGGAACTATAGCATAGAGATGAGGCTGTCAATAAGTTCTTTGCATTTCAATGAATAGATCAATGCATACTCAAGACAGCTGAATGCTTACAAAAGCCATATATCGGAATTGAGTAGGTTTACACTTGTTTGGAGAAACCTTAGCACACAAGTCCCTTGAAAAGCTTTATGTGCATCCCAAGGGCTCTTTTTGCTTTACACAATCCATTGTATAAGAAGTATTATAAGATGACCTTTGGTTAGGACTCAAGCCTTTTGCAACGCATTCATCAAAAAGCTCCATTGCCTCATCTACCGTTTTTTCTTGGCAGTACATGCATCTAGATACTGTAGGTAATAAAACTAGGTGCAACAATCATTGTCAAACATTCTCTAGCTGATCCACTTCATGGATGTCGACAATATCTGTCCCATAATGATTGTAGGTGTAACATCAGTCTCCTTTACTCCGCTCGTTACTTCCATTTTTTTCTTCTTCTGTGCGTAACTTAATTAATTGCCAGTGATATTTTGCTCACCGGCAAGTGGCTACGCTGTTTTTGGCCTCTCCTGCCTCTGTCTCTGTTATTTTGTTGATATTGTGTGTAAAGGAGGTCAAATTCATCGTTAGCTAATTCTTGGGTCCAGTTTGCGAGTTTCGGGTGACGCTTGGCACCTTCTCAGCCATGAGAACATGTGAGAATGGCATTTACTGGATCAATGTGTTTTCTGGGACCTGTGAAAAATCATGATAAAATTACAAATGACTCAAAAAAAAAAAAAGAAATTTATAGTTATGAAATTTATTTCGGGGAAAGTTAATTTAATTTTTTAAGTACATTTTTTTTTTCTCACAAGGAAAAATATTTTAATTTTCTAATGAATATAAATAAAAAAGTGGGGCTTGAATGTGAATAGACTTGTTCTTCTATTCAATTCAGCGGCTTTTTATTGCTTTTCAAATCAAAATGGGTGCAAGATTAGTTTTGGGTCAAAAAAGAATACACAAATTAAAAATTTTTTCTCCTCGCTAATAATAGCATTATTCTATTCCCATCTGCTCAAAGTATAGATAGATGTATAAATTATCTTTTAAGGTTCCTTAATGCCACATTTTATTATGAATAGCAAGATAGATCATTTATTATTATTATAGATTATAAATTATAGATAGATATCATGAAATATTGAATCTTTGTAAATTAATATTTTTTTTCTTTTCATAGTCTTTTATTACTTCGAAAATTTAATTATTGCATTATCCGTCTAGATATTTAATTTATAAATATCTATACTGATTGATTTTTAGTTGTAAATTGATTTCTAATTTTACATGCCATTCTCTCTAGCATCGGTTGGGAACTTTTTTTCCTTTTTCCTTTTCCTTTTTATATTTCACGAATAGAATAGGTGATTGTTGACTAGTTCCCATCACACAGTTTTTCATATTCACCAAGATTATGAGACTGAATAATAGAAATAACACTTAATGGAAATTTTTAAAAAAAAATTAAAATAATATTTATCAATCTGATTTAAATATTATTTTGCCTGCTTTTTGAATATATTTTGTCCAATGTATGGAGCTCCCCAATTATATTATCACGTAATTAGATTTAAATTATGTGAAATAATATAAAAAAGTATAAATTTATTTAATTGATAATTTGGATAGATTTGGATTAATTTTAAAAAAGATTAAAAAAGTCAAGCTTTCATGAACCATCAACTTTCACTTATCGTTGATGATAAAGGGGAAAACTTATTTGTCAAAAATAAGATTTTTTATTAATTTAAATTACTTTTAAAATTTAATTAGATTAAACTTTCTAAATGCAATTTAGATTAAATAGGAAATTAATATAATCAATCAAAATTTAAATTTTTTATTTTCAACCAATAAAATTAAAGTTCTCAAAATATTTGAAATGCTTAATTATCTATTCTATTTGCTTTAAAAAATAATTTTAATAAAATATATTCCAATCAACTAATAAAATATAATTTTTTTTAATTGGTAATTACTAAGGTTATTTTAAGGGATATTAAAAATTTCATTGAGGGGTCATCGGAAATTTTCATTATTTCCTCCCTCCCAATTCATACATTTATATAATAGTATAGATTGGACTTTTTTTTTTTTTTTTTTTTTTTTTTTTTGTTCTAATAGAACAAAAATACCTGGAGGTTATATTTTCCTCCATATACACTTTAATCCATCTTACTTCAAAATAATATAACAATAATCTTCATAATATTTTGTTTTTTATAGTAGGGTTAATTATAATTTTAGTATCTCAACTTTTAAAAATTTTCTATTTTAGTGTCTCAATGATGTGATATTTTTATTCTTGACTTTGTAAGTTTTGTAGTGAGCTTATAAAAATTTATCGACGGACAACTTGGTATGTAGCCTTTGATTATCTTTAATTGTCGTTTGCAGCTGTGTATACATATGCACTAGAATTTTTTTGATAGTTCTATCTCCTTGGAAATCTTCATCTGTGTTTCCCAGAAGATGACCATGAGGTACTTAAATTGAAATCTATAAATGCAGTACTTATTTTGCTTGCTTCATGTTTTTTTTTTTACAGTATATAAAAAGAAACTATCCCTGAAAGTCTGTCGAGGCATGCAACAAAAGTTGTTTGAATCTCATTCGACTGTTTTTTTTGAACTGATAAGGTAGTTGTGATTCTTGTGAAATAAGAAGAATCTAACCATTACAACCAGTTGCATTGCGGCCACTTCCATTTGCATTTGTAACTGAAATGTCCATTTGCATTTACAGCTCAATTGTTTGGAATGAACTGTACAATTGAAATTTTTTTGGATATCTTTGTGGTGATTTGAATTTGAATTGTGGTGATTTGAATTTGAATTCCAATATAAAATTCTCTTGATAGCAAACAAAAACAATTAGTATTACAACTTATTGCCAATGCCAGCTGCACAGAAGTCTGATACAAATATAAATATTGAATTGCAGAAAATAGAGACAAATTTAAGTCATATAACCCAAAACAGAACAACATCTCCAGTGACTGTATAACAATTCTTCTTTCTTAAAATCTCACTTCAACTTTACGTCTTGAGAACTTTTAGAGCAGCTTAGTAGCAGAGCAGCTTAGTAGCTTTTTCACAAGCAGATCATTGTTTACTACCAACTCCACGGTAGTCGCATCTGCAGAAAACCCCTTGCCAACCATTTCCTCAATAAGTTGGTATGCCATGGACACATCGTTGTGTCGGAGATATCCTTGGATAATCACGTTATAAGAGCAACCATTTGGTAAGCAACCATTCCCTTCCATTTCCCGGAAAACCTCCAATGCTTCATCTAATAATCCTTCTTTACAAAGTCCATTGACCATTGTATTGTATGTGCAGACATCAGGATACAACCCTTCTATGGGAAGTCTAGAAAGCAGTTCCTTTGCATCTTTAACCTTTCCAACCTTGAACATACCATCAATTAAGGTATTATAAATAATAAGGTGAGGCTTCAACAAGTTCTTTTGCATTTCATGAAATAGATCCAACGCCATATCAACACTCCTATGATTACAAAAGCCGTCCATCAGAATTGAGTAGGTTACATTATCTGGAGAATGGCCACTAGCACACAAGTCCTTGAAAAACTTATGCGCAGCCCAAGGGCCCTTTGCTTTACACAAGCCACGTATAAGAGAATTATAAGTGAAATGGTCAGGCATCAAGCCTTTGCAAGGCATTTCATCAAGAAGCTGCATTGCTTCACCTATCCTTTTTCTCTTACAGTAGCAATGAATCAAGATGTTGTAGGTAACAACAGTAGGTGTACAGCCCTTGCTTACCATCAGGTCAAATATTTCTCTAGCTTGATCCACTTGGTTATGTACACAATATCCATCCATTAATGAACTTAAGGTGATAACATCAGGCTCTAAGTCCTCATGCATCATCAATTTAACTGCACCATGCAGCTTTTGAAACCTTTTCCTTCCCTACAAAGTCCATCAACCAAAGGTATTGAAGGTATATAAATTTGGTGTGACGTTTGCTTCAAACATTTGGTTAGCAACATAAAAGCTTTCCTTCCACTGCTTGCATAGACAGACGCAACGGATTAAGGTGTTGTAGTCACAACATCAGGTAAGATACCTTTGCTCTTTATTTTGAAGAAGAGGTCTAAATGCCTCAGTGGACAATCTATCCTTGCAGAGACTGTCAATGTAGCATTATATGGCAACGCAAATCAGGCTTCAACAACCTTCTCTACCATCACCTTTTCAGAATAACCAAAGGCAATGTTGGTTTTCCCCAATTTTACACAGACCATTCACAATCACGTATGGTATAAACACGTTTGTTGACTAACCTTTTTTTCAACAATATCATCAAACAAATCCACGGCTTTACCAAATTTATCCTCCCTACAAAGCCCATGGATTAAGGTAGTAAGCGTTACAATGTCAGGCTTAAAACCAAGTTTGAAGATTTTACCGATAAGAGAGTACCCAATATCCACATGGTCTAGATGGCAGAAGAAATTAATCAAAATACTTAAAGAATAAATGTTATGTGAAATTCCAAACATTTCCATCTGTTTAGAGAGAGAAATGACAGTAGCATAATGTTTCATTCGAACAAGTGCAGAGAACAATTTACTAAATTCCTTAATAGCGGAAGGAGGATTACTATGAAGCATCAAATTAAAGGAAGCTAAACAATCATCAATGTTGTGGAATGAATCAGATTTGCTTTTACCTTTTTGCTTTTTCCTCTCAAAAGAGTATGCTTTTAGAACTACTAAAGAAACGGAAACCAAAATATCCTTGGCCGGACGAAGCCGCAAAAACAGAAAGGCCATCTCGCTGCTATAGA